ATGATTATTTACACACAGCCACCTTGTAACATAAATTGATACCTTCCCTGATTCCCCCCAGAGACTTGGCCCCTGCCCTCTCTTGTCTCACAACAAAAGAACTGTATTGTAATTCTTCTCTAGACTGACTTCAGGGACTGTGCCTTGCTGGTCTTCCCTGCCTTTCACTTACTAGAAGCTCTGGCACACAGTGGGCATACTGAATGCGACTGAAGAAATAAACAAAGGTATAAGTAAATGTCAACTCCTAGATGCATCACCCGGAATATTATTGATGAGCTCTTTTGCCTTATGTCCTCAATTTAGTCATTTTTCAACTATCCTCAATATATTATTATTTGATGCTGAATGAGTTTTACTGAGGAAAAATCTGAAAGCTCCACTACTCTGTAGGCTTTTACATGCAGAGTTGCCTCAAGTAAAATCACAGCATTCAATGCAGAATCTCTTCTGAAAAACTCAGCTGGAGCTCACTTTTGGACCCCAAAGTACATTTCCTTTAAAGTCTACTTTAAACAATTAATAATACTAATGCTTATAGGACACCAACCAGCAAATTAATATTAATGGTAATAACAATAATAGTTTCTTTTAAAGTAATTAATTGAAGTCAAGAAATAGCCAAGCCAGTTGCCATGCAGTTAGAATTTTATATTTTCCATCAGAAAAACAATTCACTTCCAATGACAAATAAGGGTAGGGCCACTAAAACTACCTGTCATGCATCTAATGAAGACAGATTCTCTGGCTACCACATATAATATGTAATATCCAAAAGCACTGCTGTGATTCACAGCTAATTAGTGTCTTGCCGTTATGAGAGGTGTCATGGCCCTAACTCTCTTTTCAGATCTACTCAGACCTCACAAGAGCAGACAGCCATGCAGGGATCACAACAACCCAATTAGCACCCACCCAACCTTGGGCTGCTACTTCTCAGCACACTCAGCATCAATAAATCATGCTCCCTGATGAAGCTCTTCTCTGGCAGGTTCAAACCGTTGTTGCTCAAGGAATAAAACAATACTTCTAAGGAAAACTCATGTGGGAAAGAAAAAGATGGAAAAGGGATATTATTTGCCTTCCTTTAGCACAGCAGTCAGCAAAATTGAAGACCATCAGTTCAGACTGATTAAGAAGACAACTGCACTAAGAAATAAATCTATGAGTGGTATATTTGAAGATCCTTAGTGATAATCAACAGCCAGCAATTGGGTTGTTTGTTTTAATGTGAGCCCTTTTTCTTTCCATCTTTCTCCTATATAGCCTTCCCTCTGGCTAATAAGAAAAATTTTCTTTCAGTAGAACATAATGGTATGCATTTACTTGGTACCCCAGTGAATACATAGCAATCAGATAATTTGTTTAAAAGACTAAATTGTTTGACTTCATTGAAAAGAAATCTATAATGATATGCTGGTTTCTAAGCAAGGCCTGCAGAGCTTCCTAAATCCATAAGCAGGCTCTAGAGTATTCACAGTACATAACAGCCAATATCCTTGTAATTTTGTTTTAAGCCTGTAAAGCTGTTTTTACTTAGAGAGTATTCTGAACAGTCACTGTTGTCTGGGCATTATTCAAAGACATAATTCAGGTAATTCTACTTTTAGTTTGTTTTCCTCATGAAAATAACTTTTTATTTTTTATTTTTTTTTTTGAGGCAGAGTCTCAAAGGACTCTGTCCTCCATTGCACTCCAGGCTGGAGTGTAACAGCATGATCTCTGCTTACTGCAATCTCCACATCCCAGGTTCAAGCGAGTCTCGTGCCTCAGCCTCCCTAGTAGCTGTAATTACAGGTGTGTACCACAATGTCCTGTTAATTTTTGTATTTTTAGCAGAGACAGGGTTTTGCCATGTTGGCCAGGATAGTGTCAAACTCCTGGCTTCAAGTGATCCAACCACCTCACCCTCCCAAAGTGCTGGGATTACAGGCATGAGCCACCACACCAAGCCTCATTCTTCTATATTTTTAATGCTAATCTAAAAACATTTGATCTAGCTTTCAACTAAATAACTGCCACCTAATTTGATATGTAAATAGCGACAAAGACAAATAAATAAACAGGGATGTATTTAAACAAGGAATTTTCTTATAACTCTTCTTATTAAGCATAGAGATTTCAAAAAGATTTTTCTTCCTCTAAATATAATATTATTATGGAAAATTCAAATATTTTTCTGCAAGGATGTCCACTGTATCATATTTTATAGCAGCAAAATAATTAAAATGTACAAAACATAAAATAAGTCAAATAAATCATGATATACTCATGCAACTTCTAAAAGTAACAGAGTAGAAGAATGTTAAAGGGCATGCAAGAATGTTCACAAGATACTGCAAGACTGAAATAAGAGAAAAATGGAGCTTGGATCTATGTTATGCACCTGCATGCACACACAAACATGTATATACATATGTGTGTATACATAGGTGTGTGTATATTTATCTATGTACATAGATTTATAGAGCTATACACTATTTTAACAAAAGCTAACCTGAAAGAGCCAGTTCTTCAAGATGGATCCCAAGTGGCTAACTTGTCCTGAATTTAAAATAGAACTAAGGGGTCACTTGCTGATAGAGGTCACACACATACTCTGAGTATCCTGAAAATCCACAACTCTTTAACTTTGGGACTTTCAGAACTTACCTGCTTTGGCCAATCAGGACTCAGCTGTATCAACCAATCAGGACTCAACTTTAACAACCAATCAAGGTTCAATTCAGAACTAAGCAAGTTTGAAGCCTTCATTTGCATAAAAGAATCTGACTGGGAAACTGGGTGGTAACTTTTCTATGAAACCATAATCCTCCCTTTGTTCTCTGAATGCACATTTGTTTTACACAGAAGGCTGCATCCTCTGGGTTTGCAAACTTCCCAGAAGTTGGGAAGTTTGCAAACCCAGAGTAAAGTCTCTTTCTTTCTAATTCCTTTTCAGAGAATTTTGTTTACAAAACTCACACACACACACACACACACACACACGAACTTCATTATGTACAAGTTAATGTTTGATGCAGAATCTCTTCTGAAAACTTATTTTCAGAGCAGTTTTTCAAAACAAAAATTTTGTTTTCTGTGTATGGGGTTATGAGTATGTATGCATATGTATATGTGCATAAAAATATACTTCATAGGTCAAGAATTTTTTAGAATCTTGACAGGAAAAGTATTTTAATATTTAACATGCATCTTTAGAAATTTATATTCTAGATTCTTCTTCTTTAAGCTGTTTGCCTATATAAAAGTTTTTTATGTTTCTTTCATGATTAGAAAAAAATATTATTATATGAAATATTCACTTATATCACTTGGATATGCAGATGTGGACTGGTGTGAATTCCCAGCCTGGTGGAACATCTGTTCTGAGTGACTAGTGCCCATCCCATATCAGTCATTAGATATTCTGATTATCACCTTGGGTATAAACAACATTTAAAAGATAAGTGACAGGCTAGGTGTGGTGGCTCACACCTGTAATCCCAGCACTTTGGGATGCCGAGGCAGGTCGATCACGAGGTCAAGGGATCGAGACCATCCTGGCCAACATGGTGAAATCCTGTCTCTACTAAAAATACAAAAATTAGCTGGGCGTGGTGGCACACGCCTGTAGTTCCAGCTACTCAGGAGGCTGAGGCAGGAGAATCGTTTGAACCTGGGAAGCAGAGGTTACAGTGAGCCAAGACTGTGCCCCTGCACTCTAGCCTGGCAACAAAGTGAGACTTCATCTCAAAAAAAAAAAAAAAAAAACAGTAAGTGACACTTCACACATAGTCACATTTCAAGAATAAGTGTCAGAACCAGCATCTGCTAACCTCTTATCCATGGAATTAGGTAGTAGTAAAGTTGAATCCATGTGGTTCTGGAGTACCATATTGACTCAGTGTCAGCATTGTTAGGACCTGAAGTATGGACCCTCTGCAACACCTGCCTCAAAATCACTGACCTTGATTCTCTCCCGCTCTTACCCATCTGCCCTGATATTTGGAACCACAAAGTGTGGAGAAGGATATTGTGTACCAAATACACACAGACTGGCCAGAGTTCAGGTCAGATCAAAGTTCCCAATACACGTGGAATTATGGCCTACTTTCATGCAGCACCATGATGGCTGCCCTGATTTCCAGCTCAGTGAGCCAGGCAGATACAATGAGACAAATGGGTATCATGTTTAATCAGCATTTATTGCAGGGCAACAGGTATATAGGGAAGCAAATCCTCTCCCTCCAGAAGGTTCACATCTAATTAGAGAAACAGAATAATACGTGTTTAAAGGAGATGGTAACACAAATGACAGACCTAGACAATACAGAGAACAGAACAGAGCAAGAAGAGAGAAAGTCTCACATTTAGTGATGACCTAGCGTAGCATCTTAAAGAAAAGATATTCTGCAACATGGTAATATAACTAAAAACATAGCTTTTTCAAAGCAAAGACATATATTTAGGTACCTGTAACTACTGGGTATATTTTCAGGTCCCCTGTGTTTCTTTTGTTATAGGGCAGTGTAAACATGTACTTGATCCTTAGGTGAAAAACTACCATTGACCAAATTTTACATATTATGGGGTTAATTAAATTTATTTGCACTAATCATTTCAATTCCTTTTGTGTTTACCAAGCAAAGACAACTGAAATGCCAGAAGAAAATTATTATATTGTGACAAGATCAATTTTGACAACAGTGTAGTTGTTTCTTGCTTATCATTTCCCTAAAAAAATTCTAGGTAATGCAAAAGTTAGAAAATGTCACCAGATCCATGTTTTCCATTTCATATCTAGAGCATATATATTTGAAACTATTTATAGATACTTCTAGGCATAGTTAGTATCTCTTGGGTTAATTTTTATATTACTCTTGATTAGTTTAGTGGTGATTTTGTTGCTATTGTAAAGATAAGAAATAAGGCAAAGTTTAAATTATTGTGTCCACACAGAAAGCTCATGACTGCAGACTCTCAAGCTCAGAATGAATCACACAAAACAATGCCCATACCTGAAAGAGAGAATTCTCCTTTTTGGCTCTCACTTTCTCTGATTAGAAAGGCACCCGTCTGATTTTCTGAATATAATAGTTGTTTCTCTGCATCTGCTCTTTTGATTGCTCCAAAGAACCACCTAAAATGAGAGATATATATAAATGTTAATTAACAAATTAACATTCATTTTTTAAGGAAGGAAAAACCTGGCAAGATAGTATTCTAGCATAAAAAATATTTGGTATTCTTTAGTGAAACTATTACAGGTATAAGTGGTAGCTTCCGATACTTAGGATGATTTTTCAGAATGCCTGTAACCCACACCAAATTTTTTTTTTCATTACAAAGTAGGAATTTGATTATGCCCATGACCATATCCCTTTTCATAGCTGTGTTCTGTCTGAGAGGTCCTAAGCCTTCCCTCTATCAAAGCCAAAGCCCCAGTGCCTGCCTGCCATGTATATCTGCCGTGTTCCAAACTCTAAAATGACTCATCATCCCCATCCAACCATCCCCTGCCTCCCCTAACACCTCCTAGCTGTTAGGAGGCAAATATGCCAATCAAAGGATTCATATGCTTTATGTTAAAATATGAAGGATTAAAAATATAGTTCTCTGGACATTAGTTTCTTTCTTTTTTCACCTCTACCACTGTCCAACCCTGCCATAATATGAGATTATTTTGCAAATGGGAGGAATTTATTAATAAAAAGGAACATTTAAGTAGTGAAGATATTTGAAAAAGGTGCCTCTGCCAAGGAAATATCACTTTAGTACTACCTCCACTTCTTGCCTTTTTCCCTCTTATCTTTACCACTCCAGAAATATGAGTCAGATGCTGAACACAAGGGTTTGTGAATGCGATCATCATCAATAAAGAATTATGGATCATTAATATCAGAGCCACTGTCAAATGTACGTCACATTAGTAGAAACCAATGTGATCTAATAAGAGGAATATGAGGATTCCTGCTTATCACAAATGATCCCTCACCATGGAGCCATAAAGATGATCATCGTCATTAGAGATTTTAAGTAAAACATTAATCTTTTCAGGTAACTGATTTAAAAATGTAAACAATCCAAGGGAAGAAATGCAGGCTTGAGGAAGAAATACAGGCTGAGAGAAAAAAAAAAATGTGTGCTATCAAAATTTAACTTGAATTTGATTGACGGGTCATGGGATTAGAGAATATGAGTGCCCTAAGAATGAAATAATTGAAAGGCAGTTGGGGGAAGTAACTGAAAAGACACACATTAACATATAAATATTACCTTCTAACAAATGCAGGGTATTCATTTATCATTTCACCAATTATCAAATTGTAAGTTACGGCACATTAACTCTACCTTTCAGGACATGCCAGGTTATCTTGTAGTAATGAACAACTCCAAAAATCTCAGAGGTTTAAGGCAACTGGTTTCACTCAGCTCCAGGTCTATTGAGGTATTGAAGGTAACCTGGAGCTCTGCTTGATGTCTGTCTCACTTAGAGAGTTCTATCTCCACGCTTCCATGATTGCTGAGTCAGGATTGGAAAATGTGGAAAATCACAGGCTTGTTCCTAGAGCTTCTATTTAATGATTCTACTCAGGAATGAACCCACTGGCAGTAAGTCTCATAGTGATGCCTAAATGTAAAGAGAGTAGAAAGAGCCAATCCCACCATTTCCCAGAAGGTAGAGAACTGGAAACACTTGGTAGACCATACTAATGACTGCTGCATTGAGTCTGTATCAGAAGCAAACCGATCTCCATGGACTATTGCTTACGCAATCGAAACCATGGAAGTCATGGAAACATTCCAACGTGGCCATGTAATGAATTCAAAGAAAAATAGAAATGCATGTTTTTGACTATTGTAGAAATAAGTCAACAGAATACGTGAACATAAGAAAAAGCTCAGACCTAAATAAAAATTAGTGATGAAAGGGCGGATGATTCAATAAATAACACTAATAATCCACATGGGAAAAAACTGATGCTACCTACAACATACACAATAATTTCACATAGATTAAAGACCTACTGTAAAAGACAAACTTCACAACTTCCTGAGGACATTGGACTAAAGATATTTGTAGAAAAAACCCTATAGCAAATTTTTTTAATCCTTCTTTGTTTCAACAATTTTGGACTTTTGTATAATACAGTGGTACAATCACTTTACAGGACAAATCACACTAGAACTGAATCCATAGTAACAATGAAATTAATATAATATTTGACTGAATGCATCAATTCACTTAATACCTAGCATTTTACTTAGCTGAGCTCTGATCAGAAGTGAAGAATATAAATTAAAAAATGTTTTCTAGATGTAGTGGCATTTATAACATCATCCTTCATACTCAAAGGTGATGCAATTGCTGTGGACTGCAGTCTCTAGAGCATGTGCTGCTGTGGAGACTGATGGACAAACAATAGCTTGTTCCACCCTTTAGACAGATGAAAACTGTTCTTTAATTTGAGGTCTGAATTGTTGGCAGAACTGTCATTCTGGTCAAGTCTGCCTTTTAGAGCCTCTGCTGGCCCTGTTCTGGAAGGGCACACACACCCCAGGCCCGGTTGCCCACCATAGCAATTTTCAGCCCTCTCTTTAAGTTACAGTTCTATGTGCAGTAAGCAGAGAGTGCTGAGAAGGGATCAAGATATCCTAGGAGTATAAAGCATCACAAGACAGGTATAAGGATCAGTGATCCTCCAAGTGTGGTCCCTAGATCAGAAGTATCCGCATCACATAGAAACTTGTGTTAAAAGAAAAACCTTAGACAAATTAAATGTAACAGAGTTTAATTGAGCAAAGAATCATTCATGAATTAAGCAGCCTCCCGAGCCAGAGAACACTCAAAGCCCAGTGCAGCCACGTGGTGGAAGGAGATTTATGGACAGCAAAAGGAAAGTGACTAACAAAAAAAAGGAGTGAGGGACAGTAACAGCTGGATTGGTTACAGCTTGGTGTTTGAACAAGGTTTGAAGAGATGGCCCCCTTTGATTGGTCAAAACTCGATGATTGGTAGAAGAGTAGCTTACTGTCTGTTCATACATCCAGTAAGGTTACAGTTTACTATGCATGGAGAAACCTTTAAGCCGAACTTAAAATATGCAAGGAGACAGCTTTAAGCTAATACTTGTTAGAAATGGAAATTCTGGGCAGGCACGGTTGTTCACACCTGCAATCCCAGCACTTTGGGAGGCTGAGGCGGGCGAATCACCTGAGGTAGAGTATTCAAGACTAGCCTGACCAACATGAAGAAACCCCGTCTCTACTAATAATGCAAAAATTAGCCAGTCATGGTGGCGTGCATCTGTAATCTCAGCTACTTGGAAGGCTGAGGCAGGAGAATTGCTTGTACCAGGGAGGCAGAGGTTGCTGTGAGCTGAGATCACATCATTGCACTCCAACCTGGGCGACAAGAGCAAAACTCCATTTCAAAAAAAAAAAAAGAAAAGAAATGGAAAATCTTGGGTCTCACTTCATACCTACTGAATCATAAACTCTAGGGGTGGGTCCCAGCAATCTGGTGTTTATCGAGTACCCCAGCTAAATCTAATGCATATTAAAGTTTGAGAACTACCGATGTACAAAAATAGTAAACCAATTAGAAATTTGTACAAGGCAGCTGAGAACATTTTATTTTGGCACTTACATGCGAAAAAGTATCCAGTAAAATAATACCACACATATTCATACACACACAGTCTATTAATAAAGAAAATAATCTTTATTGCTGTACCATACTATGCCATGAAATATATCTTTATTAACAATAATCAAGAAGAAGATTAGACTCATGATGTGAGAAGAAATTCTGGGAGAAATAAATGCTTCAATTAGATAAAAACAAAACAAAAAAATATAATTTCTGTTTTAGATGAAAAGAGTATGTGAATCAATTCTAAAATTAATTACATAAATATTACCAAGCATCTAACATATGTAAGCTATGTAACACTAACACAGAAATATCTGTAGGACATTATTGTATAAAATAGAATTGATTACAAAGTACTAGGAGTATTATAGGTTTATTAAATTTTTTAAATATATATTTTTAAAAATCAACAAACTAAAAATTGTATGTGCTTACTTTCCTGGAGATTAGTGAGAGATGATGAAAGTAATGACAGAGGAGTTTCACATTTTTTTTTTTTTTTTTTTTTTTTGATGGAGTCTCACTCTGTCCCCAGGCTGGAGTGCGGTGGCATGATCTCAGCTCACTGCAACCTCTGCCTCTCAGGTTCAAGCAATTCTCCTGCTTCAGCCTCCTGAGTAGCTGGGACTACAGGCACATGCCACCACGCTCGGCTAATTTTTGTATTTTTAGTAAAGGCGGGGTTTCACCATGCTGGCCAGGATGGTCTCGATCTCCTGACCTCATGATCCACCCACCTCAGCCTCTCAAAGTGCTGGGATTACCAGCGAGAGCCACTGTGCCCAGCTGAGGAGTTTCACTTTTTACTCTGCATTCTTCTCTCTAATTTGAATGTTTACAATAAAATGTAGTTGTAGATTACTTTAAAATGTATTTAAATATAAAAAATTAAAAGAGGTCAATCAGAAATATGCTACAAAATTTACATGTTGTAAAGGTCTGAACTAGAAACTTTGGCACTTAGAATTGATAGATATAGGAAAAATCCCAAAGGAATATGAAACAAGTTATTATGAATGAGCAGTGAAACAGATGGAAGAGAGGATGTGACACCAGAATTTCAAATCTGAATGACTAAAGGACAATATGCCCTGCAACATGTCAGAAGGCAGAGTATAATAACAGTTAAGAGTGACAGCATCTCATTAGGAAATTTATTTAACCTCTCTATGCCTCACTCTCCTCATTTGTAAATGAGAATAATAATACTTTTTTTACAGCCTTATTTTGATATTAAGAAGAATAATGCATGTAAAGTGCTTGGTATCTCAACACATTCATGTTCAATAAATAGTAGAGATTTTAAGACAATTGATTGAAGGCAGATATTATCAATTTTTAGGCGTGATGGATTTGAGGTCATGCTAGGGCACGGGTGAATTTGTGAGCATGACCTTCTTTGTTTGCGTTAACAGTTTTATCCCAAGTGACTCTTCTGTCCTGCCTGTTGTTCTTGACTAGGACGTGCTGCCACCAGGTGGCAG